AAATCTGATGAAACCAGAATTTATGTTTTTTATGTTTTCGGTAAAATCCGTTCAAAAACTGTTTCAAAAAGGAATGTAAGGCATACATAAGTCGGGAAGAAGACATACACTAAGACAAGTAGCAGCAAGGTGGAAGAGAGAAACTGGGATGAATGTTTCCAGAGAACGCTGTCGTGAATATAACCACTATACCGGTCTTAGTTTTTATAAAATATGTTCGCGGGATAAATTTTCTATTTTTTTTGACTTATACGGCAAAGAAAAATCATTGTTTACGGAAACTCAAAAAAGAATCGTTACCTTTGGGCCAAATCAGTACTTTCGTGGACCAAACATACACCACGTGCAGCAAAGTTATATCCATCCGAAGATTTTATCTATCATGGGGATATTGGAAACGACAAGAGATACGAAGGTTTTGTTTTGGTGAAATAAAAAAATGGAAACGTCGTACTTAAAATCTCTCCTATCTTGTACAGTTCAAAAAGTGACCTGTATTGTTTTTACATCTCTTCAATTAACACCAGAAAAAAATTAAAAAAAATCGGCACATTTCGCTTTTATTTTGGCGTATCTTCGGCAATTATAGTAATTTTTTAGTTTTCTGAACAGCACTTCAAATTTTGCAACGTTTTCCAAATTTCACCATCTTTTATCCATCTAACCGTCTCTTATTGGTTTCCAATGAACATGGTGAACATCCTTATCTTGGACAGACTGTATGTCTATGTTATATACCGACACATGGTGTCCTCGTTTCTTGCAACAAATTATAAAACACTAAACTCTTTTCATAAATAAAGGAAAGGAGCAGCAAAATGTAACATGTTGGCGGTATTTCTTTTTGTTCAACTTGGAAACGTAATATAAACAATGCTTTCGGTTGTACTAGTTGGATATTCCACCAAAAATAAAAAGTTCTGTAATTTAAGTTTTGATGTTACTTTATATCGATAACAGTTTCATAAAAAAAATTTCTTTGGGTGATATTCGGTCAAAAAATAAAACCAATTGTTGCAGGATCCTATCTAAACACCACACACGCGAAAAATTTTACTTTCTCTTTAATTTATTTCAGAAAAATGCATAACGCAAAAAGGTCGCAATAATATATATAAACGCTTGTTTACTTTCGTTTAAACATCATCAACGTGCTGAATAAAAATTAAAATCATATGCCACGGTCTTTCCGTGATATTTTAAATAAAGACTATTCCAAGGTTTCAAGAAATGTTACATATTTTGAGAGAATTTATTTCTATACAGGGTGTTTCAAAGAGTCATACACCAGACCCAAGCTGCAAATGCAAAAATAACACAAAATTATGTCCATTAGGAAGAATCTGATATTTTGTGAATAGTATAATTAACAGTATTGTAATTTGTGAACAGTATAATTAAGATTAGAATAGAATAGAATACAATCACAGAACGCAATACAGTGGATGTTTCGTAATATTTCTCTTCATATCGTTAAGACGATGTAAATTTTGATGTTCTATAACAATAGAAAATTAACACCATATACTCCACAAGAAGAAGGCGCATTTTACGATGAAACATCCTTTGAATAATTTTGGATTTAACACTTTTTGAATCAACGTCAAAGTTATTGGAAAAAAAGTAAATTACTGAAAGAAGATAGGTTAAATCGAAGGGGGTTAAATATAATAATAATATAATAAAAATCGGCTCTAATTTTCTATATAGTGTACCGATAAGATTGAAGCTCTATCAAGTACATTATTTTAAAACTTCAAAAAAAAAGATCTTATCACATCTGATGTCGGATACCTATAATGGATCAATAAACCCTACTGGACGTGTCAAACACAATAAACGATTACTTATACAGGAGGAAATTTTCACTTTTGCTGTTGGTTTTGCTTTCAAAATCATCGACACTTACAAAATTCACGCACCTGCTTAAAATAATTACAATGACCATACACGCGGTCAATATTAAACAGTTTGTAATCAGGCTATACTATTTAAAAGAATAGAAAGTGCAGCAATATTCAGAGCGAGACGGAATTTTTCTGTAACGACATTTTAAGTATCATTCGATTTTCAAATTGGCCGTGTCGGGTAGACAGACGCCTTTTGATGGCGCGCTCAACACCTTTGGGACTTCTATTTAAGAATATGTATACCCGTGTCAAAAGCGTCCTCGATAACTTCAGTTCACGCAAATCTGGTCGTTCGCCGAAACGATAGGCCGACTTAGATTGGTCAATTGAATATGTTTTGTTTGGTCTATTTATATAATATCACAATGGTCATTAATTACGATATTGCTGCACCTGTTGGCAAGTTGTTCTAATAATTTTGACCACGATTAAGGACCCGTCAGAAGGGTCAGTATTTCTTAGACCCTTTTAAATTGGGGGTAAATAATTTCCAATTCTTGCTGTTGCAATTAGCATGTTATGTCCAAACATAGAGCAGATTTTTTTCAAAGCACTAATTACAATATCTATCATTCTCCCAGTTCCGTGTTGTAGGAATATCAAATGCCAACTAGAACTAAACTGAAGTGTAATTTAAATATAAATTAACTTATTATTATCGTTATTATTGTGCAGGGTGACCCGGTTATTATAATTGATATGTTATTATGATACCTTATATCAGAATCTGTAAAAAAAAGGCAAAAGTGGTTAGAATTTATTTATATTCTTAAGTGAAAGCTTTTTTTTATGTATTCCTACTTCTACTAGTTCTAATTTCTACTTTATTTGTCTGCGTGATAAATTAAAAATGAATAAATGCAAAGAATAACATTAAAAATGAAAAAATCGTCAAAGTCAATTTTTTCAAATGGAAATATCCCATTTACAAATCTTCTGGATTCTCCTGCGTAGGTTGTTGATAAATCAAACTTGGTGAAGTTTCGCCAATCATCCTGCTGGCTTCTTCAGAACTTAACTCAAAGAAATAGTATTACAGTAGCCTGTGGAAGTTTCTTTGAAGAATAAAAGTATCCTATTGCAATAATTTTGTTATATTTTGCATTTAAAAAAAGAATGACTTTGTATAAGGCTGCCGATTTGAAAAAGTTGTAGATCTGGATATATTAGTAATAAAACAGTTTTTCATTCAAAAATGCTGTAACGACGAAACATGGCAAAGAAAAACCATCGAACACTACAGAAACGTGGAAACTATTATGGCCTGCTTTGGAAATTAATGGTTGGCAGTTTTATGCCATCTACCGTATTATTTTTTGTTGTTGTGCTTATTTTAACACAGAAAACATTTTTCTGAAAAAAAAACTAAATTTTTAAAAAATACTAATAGAATAAAAAAATAATAAATGATTTATTATTTTTATTGTCATGTAATCTAATCCTTTCAAAGTCGTGAAAATTCGTTTTAAAATGTTTTAACTGAATTTTTAATATGGTTAGTTTGGTTGATAAAATTTATTTTGCATTTTTTTTCAGACAGTCGCAGTGGCAGAAGTTGCTAGTACATCGACAAACTCCACTAACGAAACCCTAACGGGAATACCACAAATAGACTATGTTTGGGACCCTAATTTGCCCAAAGAACTGAATGGATACAACTTATCGGAGTACCCCTTCTATGAAAGGGTGCCTGAAGAAATAGACTTTAAGTGCGATGGTTTGCATGATGGATTTTACGCCAGCGTACCTCACAAATGTCAGGTTTGTTTTCTTTAATTTGCTGAAATTATTTTAGCTATTAATTTTTTGATTAGCGGGCAACAGAAAATGTTACAGAAAGTTATCCTTGTTATCACTTTCGAAGCGAAGAAAATTAATGCACATTTTTGGTCGTTGTTTTGAGTATTATTGGAAAGAAACAAGAAAGAAAATTAGTAATTCAATCAATGTTTTGGAACTGCATCAACCGAAGAAAAAGTTCAATCACGATACCTCCGATATATAAATAGAATAAAATAGTTTTCCAGTCATTTTAGTTGTCTACATTTTGTCCTGTGTGTGCTTTTATATACTAATTGTTTTTGCCTATTGTTAAGCTATTTCAAAATGGCGACCGTTTTAAAATTGTCCACCATTCTTGTTCTTGTTTTCAATTCTGAATGGAGGTAAAAACTGGCGTTTTTTTATTGTTGCTATTATTGGTTTATTTTGTAACTAATTATTGTAATTGTCCGTTGTATAGTTCACTTTTAGTTTTATTCTTAGTCTCCTGTGAGAACGGTGGGTATTCGTTTTTGCACTGATTTGATTGCAAATTATTAAAACCGAAAACGTAGATAACCTTGGACCAATTACGTCACACGTTAAAGGCAAACAGGGTCAACAAAGTGTGACATCGTCTAATATTTTGTATAATACTTAATTAAATTAAAAATAAAAATTGTTTTCGACGCTAATGAAAAACTTTTGAAGTTTTTAGTGTTACTCATAATTATAAATTTGTTGTCAACAAAGTTCGGTGGACTAAAAATCTATGAATTACGGCATAAATTACGAATAACTATTACACAACGAAAATTTCAAGCTTCTTCTGAGAAACTCACAACAAGTAAAATATTGGCTTTTGTCAATTCTGAAATATTTATTATTTATTCAGTTATTTGAATTATTAAGTATTAAGCATAATATTAAGTTGATTAACTAAAATGTTCGAATTTGTAGAGTTAGTCAAGCAATTTTGTAAAGGAACTGCAAAATTTTATGAATAAAAAAAAAATAGAAAACGCGTAGATTTTAACGAAACTGTATCAGGGTGATAAAGCCACCGGTAATTATACAATGTACTGTCAACGTAGGTAAACCGCTAATGGTAATAAATGCAGTAACAGGTTATATGTCGAAAAAAAAATAACCTTGCATTCAACAATATCGTACAAAATTACTTTCACTCCAGTGTAGCAGTGAAATTGTTGTGGAACTAATTTTGCTCAGTGTTCGTTTTTTGTCGGTAGTCGAACGGCGCGTTCCATCGAAAACAATTCGATAAAATACACCGATAATTATTTGGTGTTGGACCGTATAACAAATTCCGCCAAAGGAATTTGTCGATTAAATCAACAGCGCGTTTCAGCTATACGTCTAACGCAACTTATAAGCCTTAGATTATAAGCATGGTAAAGGCGATCAAACTTCTACATCCTTTTTAGAAGAACAAAATTTGACATTTCGAAAATAGGTATTTTTTGGTTAGATAATGATAATAATAATAATAAATCGACTTTTATTACACACGCATACATACGTAGCATACCTATCGAAAATGGGTAGAGATGTTCTGTTCTGTAAATGTAAAATGATATATTGTTACTGCATTGACCAATTTTTTAACACCCTACGATTCAAATTTTGAGCCCACTGAACATATTAGATATGTTATTTAAGAAGGCAATTTTAAATTATGAATTCCATTCGTATTTAAGTATTTCATTGGTTAGACTTTGTCCGTAACCTTTGGGTACCTAATTGCCCTTATAGTTATTGTCATAACTGAAAATTTTCTAAATCTCGTGTCACGAACTCCTAGTTATTGTACTAAATGCGTGAAGAAATTACACGCCGAAGCTTTTTGAAGGTCCAATATTTACATGCTTCTAACCTTAAACGCAATTAACTCAGGTAAAACATATAATTTCACAAATTATTGAATTCTACAACTTTTCGACAATGAAATATGTCGGAAGCGAATCTAGTCAAAGTATATTTTGAAACATTTTTAAAGGCTTTAAAAATTAGTTTGCCTACTAAATCAGTTGGGTGAATATAAAAATATGAAACATCTGCTGACGTAAATTCATCTTAAAGTGCTCTAGTGTTAAATTAACGGTGATGACAGAACTAGAATAAAAATTAACATGGATTCGGCAAATTTTATGTATTTAAGGCACTTTAAAATTAGTCATTACAAAAATAAAAGTTTCGAGGAAAATCACGTATCGAACACTCTTTAAAAACGAAGACTATTTAAAAATTTGTTTACTAACGCGTACAAAAAAAAGTGGTTGAGAATACTTGTTTTTTGGAAACTTGTGGCCGGTCTTTGAACTGTCATTCCACTTTCAATAATAACAAGCGCATTTCATTTTGTTCAGCATAAATTTTGTAACTTAAGTGTTCCGGAAATGTCTGCCTTATTCAATTAACACCTAAATATAATATCATATTATTTTTAGGGACAAAAATTAAAAGATTTAGGAGCTGCGATGATATAATGCAATTATTGCAAAATTTATCCAACCAAAAACAGAGAATTATTATTTTCCTCAATTATTTGTTTATGAAAAACTTGAAGCATGCACTGTAACGGTTCATTCTGAATTTCTTTGGAAGTGCCCTTAAATATTGATGAATTTTTTAGTTACAGTTGTATCTAATTCAGCCGAAATATAGCGAAATAAAGAACGGCAAAATTTAATACAATTCATAATTTTTGATAAACTATATTTATTCTTTGACACATTTTCAATATGTTTCTGTTTAACCTAATAACGCAAATTCCATACAATTATGGGATCGGTGATCCCTATTTCCGTCCAAGCTCTATCGTCACCAGAAAAGTATGAAGGACAAACAATATAGAGCATTTTTTTTGTTACATCCACAAATCCATTATTTTTTGAGTAAATGTGTTTACTAAATTGGCGTGTATGACTGTTTTCTCTACTTACACCAACTTTGGTAACATCTGGTAATGGCCTACCATATGCTTTTCTCTCTAACTTTTCTGCGAATTATTATGAATTTTATTTAGACTTTTTTTTGTCAGATCTTATTTTTTGGGAGTACGCATATGCACCGGCCGCCCATGTATAACATACTAGTTTTATGAAAATAATAATTAGTAACGATTAACAATCGGCACTATTATTACAAAATCTGTATCTCTCTTTAGCATTTACTAATCTTCAGGGTTTTAAAGGATATTGAGTTTCGGTTTAATTTCTGGCAGAGTTAAAGACCCTAATAAATATTACTTGGTTAGGCTACATTGTCAACCTAAATAGCATAAGCTATTACGCTCGATGTCCTCGCCATAAAGGCTTGTTATTTTTCAAAGAACCTTTCACAGGTTACTCTAACACAATTTACAAATTTTCAGGATTCCTGGCGTCGGTTGATGATGAATTGGAGTTGGCGACGTTTCGCCTATCATTCTGTTGGTTTCTTCAGTAGTAGTGGAGTAGGAAGTTTCTTTTAAAAATTAGCATAAGCTATATTTTAGCTATATTTTGTTGCATTTTTAGTGTTACTACCCTCTTCTAATTGTTCCTGCTTAATATGGTTTGCAAATTATTAATATGGCACCACCTAAACTTTAATTTAGCCGCCATGTGAGCCTATAGAAAGCTGGAATTCTGCTTACAATTTGCGAACGCCGCGGTTTTCTTTGATACATGTTTTCCATAACATACAGGAACATTTAATTGTTATCTTGATTATTTATTAGTTAGGACATGGAACAGTATTTGCTCATTTACTGTTTCAAGACAGATGCAAAAGTTTTAAAACTTGTTCTAGTTAAAATATAATTAAAAATACGATAGTGGAACTTAATATTGATAAATCTTTCAACAAAATTGTTCTCACGTAAAGTAATCGTTTTCGAAGCGTAAGTATAGAAACTAGGATAAACGTCTGCGAAGTTTCAATAGGAATAGTTTTCAATTTTTATTCCTTAAAAATGAATGAAATTAATGAAAGAAAGTTTGTGTGAATAAAAAGACAACCTAGTCGATTGTGGTTCAAGACTTAAGAGACTTTTGTGAGTTCAAATGACAAACTTATTAGTGGAGAAAAAAATAATAAGAGAAATATTCGATTCGAAAAGTTACATATCCAGAATTAATTTACCTGCCTGCTATTGAATTAACCATCAAAGCACAGGAAACAATCAAAACTCTACCAAATACTTGCAAATTCCAATTTCTAAAAATAAGCAGGACAACACCTTGAATTGGTGTTGATACTTTTTTCGCCATTTTTAAGTTACATTAATTTCAGTTTATGTAAATAATTAACATAGGTGTGTAAAATGGCGGGATGGGTTGGTAAAGACCAGATAAGCATTATAATTATCAGCATCAACGTGCGTCTTATGTAATTTTTTTTTCGAATTGTTCGGTTATATAACGTTTAATGTAAATTAAATTGCCTGGACGTTGGCGGATACGCACGATCGAAGATGTTATAGGGAATATTAATTCGAAATGGTTGCACAAAAAATGATGGGGACATTTTTCGTAACGTTAAATAACTACGTTTTCTATGACACTGGGTACTACCAATGTGATCGGCTCAGTATATCCGAATTAAGATTAGACACTACAAATACGTAATAAATTTTAGTTAGTTGGTCGCAGTCGTATAGTCTTTGAAAAACCACCACATGATATTCTTACTTCATTCATATCTTTAAAAAATTATTCTAATCCCGGAAACAAAATAGAAGTATTTAAAAAAGGAAAAATATGTATACAATATGTATAAATATATAATTTGTAGCTCATTAATACCGGGTTCGTTTATATCTATATATAAGAGTATTTTATCGAAAAAAATTAAATACGATGTTTTTTAGTTTTTACATAATTATTGGTAAATTACATAAGGTCTGTCACAGCACCTAATTTTAATATTTTAAGTGGAACAGCCTCCATATTACTTCATTTCTGAGGAAATTTCATAGTAGGTTCCTCCAGGTTCCTTATATCTAATTCCAATAGTTTCTTAGATATTTTGATTAGTTTAAAAATGTTTAAAGACGTAACATTATTTTGAACACTGCGCAGCGTATTGTTGTTCGATTTTTTTTACATATATTTAAAAGAGATATTTATATATTCTTTTTTGTATTCCTTTCGAAACACAATACAAATAATTAATAATATTCTTACTTCATTCATATCTTTAAAAAATTATTTTAATCCCGGAAAGAAAATAGAAGTATTTAAAAAACGGAAAAATGTGTATACAACATGTATAAATATATAATTTGTAGCTCATTAATACCGGGTTCGTTTATATCTATATATAAGAGTATTTTATCGAAAAAATTTAAATACGATGTTTTTTAGTTTTTACATATTTATTGGTAAATTACATAAGGTCTGTCGCAGCACCTAATTTTGATATTTTAAGTGGAACAGCCTACATATTACTTCATTTCTGAGGAAATTTCATAGTAGGTTCCTCCAGGTTCCTTATACCAAATTCCAATAGTTTCTTAGATATTTCGATTATTTTGAAAATGTTTAAAGACGTAACATTATTTTGAACACTGCGCACTGTATTGTTCGATTTTTTTAAATGTATTTAAAAGAGATATTTATATATTCATTTTTGTGTTCCTTTCGAAACAATACGAATAATGAATTCGCATTCCCATGCTTGATAAAGAAAATGCTGTCAAATGACAGTTTTCGTTTTTGTGGTTTATTGTCATATGGACTATATATTGGTAGACACCTACATCTCCACGCTCAGATAATATTGGAAAGTACATTAGATAGTACCGCACAGGAGGCTAAATACTGCTTAAAATTAATTCGTCCAGAGAAAAGTACTTCCGCAATCAAACCTAAACCAACAGGTTTCTAAACAATTTTTAATACAATAATAATAATAATATTAATAGTTGCCAGGGAAGCAATATTATCTGTTATATCTTTAGAGATGTTAATAGGAAAATTTATTGTTTTCCAGGTTTATCATCACTGTCTTTTTGGTACTAGGTACGATTTTTTATGTGCCAATTATACTGCCTTCGATCAAAAGACCTTCATTTGCCATTTCGTGTCTGAGGTGGACTGCCAAAACTCCAAAAAATTTTGGCACAGGTAACTATATCAATAAATCAGGTTTTCAACCAACCCCATGACATAACTTTGCTATGGATTCATTGAAAACGTAGCGGCGAAGTGGCACTTTTTATAAGTGCGCGAAAAAAAAAATTGGGTGGAGTTCTACTTGTAAAATTGAGATCTAGATAAGCAAAGTTGCTAATCTATGAAACAATTAAAGCTCTCTTTGATTAATTTATATCCATTCGAAACCTATGGGCGTTTTTTTTTTTGAAGCGAATACCAGTGTTTGGAATAAACAACGTTTAGTTTTTTAATGCATACATGAGAAGGAAGAAAATCAACAGATAGCATATTATTAACACCTAAGGACCAAAAGTTCCACTTTAACTCCTAAAATTACAGATTTAAAGGGTTGTTTCACTATATAGTTGTTTAAAGGTGTTTAAAAAACTCCCCGCTAATTTGTAGTGCAAATTAAATTATAAAATAACATTAGTTTGCTAAATAAATGTGTGTCCGAAAACGCTTCCTGCACAAGATAAAAGGGGTCTCAAAATATTTTTATTATTTCAGAAACAATACGAGAGATACCTAAATGAAATGTAGACCACACAGACATTTGATTGGGCCATACAAGTTAATACTGACAAAATTGTAATATTTTAATTTTTTTGGGCAAAAATAATACTTTCAAGCATTTAAAAAAGGTACTTTTGTTTAAAATAAACAACACTGGTTTTGGAGTTATTTGAGGTTACGGATAATGCTGACAGAATTGATAAGTCATTTTAAGTAATGTTTTGAGTAATAATGATTTTCAGTTATTTCAGAAACAATTATGAATTTTTTAGATGTATATACAAATGAGTTTGGATCTATTGAATAAATGGTGTTCGGTCAACAATCTCAAATTAAATATCAATTCACGTTCATATATGGTTTTTCGTTGTAAAAAAAAGGAACGATCTGAATACACATCTGGATAGTATGCTTCGGTTAACATATCGCTATGACATAGGAATAATGATAATGTAACAAGATTTTTGTGATTTGAATTATTTTCTTTACTTTGTTTCGTATGTTCGTCAGTTTTTCTTTAAGAGGTTTATGCACTCAGTACAACTTGGCAACATTAAAAAATAGTAGAGAATATCTGGATATTAGTTTCTATGTCAGGATTGTTAATTTTGTTAATACTAATTTATGACCAAATTAAAGGTATTTGTGGCCTAAATTGCATTTAGGTGTTTTAAACTTCCTCAGAAATAAATGAAAAAAAAAACATTATTTTTGGTCCCTTTCACAATGTCGTAGGCGTTTTCATATAATGTGCAAAAAAATATTTTTAGGAATGACGCCTTGTACACTGTGACAACTACCACTACGTTACGACCTATACGACTCGACATTTATACACCTCCACCTCAAGCTGGAGATCCCGTAACGCCACTTCCGTCTGCTTCTGCTCCACCGAGAAGGCCTCCGGGTAGGTTTATGTTAGGCCGATCAATGGATAAAACATGTCAATAACAAATAGATATTGTATTTTAGAAGCTAGGCGCCCTTATAGACCCAATCGCAGGAGACCTCAGTTTGATTACTACGAAGACGAATATTACGACGACGAATACTATGAAGAAAGACCAAGGAGGAACCGCGGTAGAAAACGACCAAGACCTAGACGCCCAGTTTATGATGACGATTATGAGGAATATGAGGATGAAAGGCAAGTAACATCAAAACGTTGATGCGTTAAAACTGCGTTGTAGTAGTAATTTACATGATCTAACGAGTTCAGAGTCCGGGAACCGAATCTTTTTGGGTATTTTTTTTTAAGTTCTGTAAAGCACTAAAAATGTATTTCCCCCTTGCAATAATAACAATTTTAAAAAAACTAATATAAATGCACACCACTAGGTGCAACTAGTTATAACCGGGTTCTTAACGAGTGCTACATTAGATAGTGAGAGTGAATATTATGTTGAATATTACGCGATTTAGTACGTTGGTTGATTATTTTTATACAATGCATTTAAAAAATATATATTTAGGGTTTGTTAATATTTCACGATAAATAAAAATACAGTTTAAGTTTTTTTCCGAACTTGGGCGAATTGCATATCTTTTTTTTTTATTATCGACGGGGTCATATTTAGGGGGTAAAGACTGGAAAAATCTTAGGAAAAAAATGAGTTTGGCTATCTAAGAAATGGCTACAGTAATAATTATATAATATTTATATATATATATATATATATATATATATATATATATATATATATATATATATATATATATATATATATATATATATATATATATATATATATATATATATATATTTTCATGATACGATAATAGGAATACATATACGGATTTAATATATACAATAAAAATAATGAAAAACTCTACAGTAAAATTTCCCTAGACTATTCTCACTGATTTACGCTCACTTATTGTTAATTTACTAATGGAACGTCGAAGGTAAATTAATACCATTTAACAATTCTCGAAAATTGACTAACACTGCCTGCGAGAGGTTGTCTAGCAAATAATTAATAACTTTCCTCAAGTGGAGACGCGTAGTGATTAGCGCAAACTATTTGTATCACTTTGTATCACTAGAGTGTTCGAGTTGTGTGGTAGGTTTTTTGTATTTACTACTTTGTGTGGCACTGCTTCAATTAGTCATAGTGCTGAACCTAACCTACGAAGGAAGGGAAACGAACCATTGCACATGGCGGACGTTTGTTCCTATCCGCTTATAATAAAGTAGAAAACGTTTCAAAATTGTGTCATTTCATTTAAAATATTGATTGATCAGCATATCCGTTCATTGATTTTTTAAAGGCGTACTATAATTATTGTTTGTGTTATGCGAATGTTTATGAATTTGTATTATGCATTGGTCGGTTTCCGGATTTCTCATGTTCACCCAGGTCAGATGGTATCCGATATCACGTGTGGGATAATTGCTGGAGCCGCTCGGTGAATCGATTGGTCATGACTAACTATTTGAAAGTTTATTGCACTGAATATGTTCACACACCTGAGGGCTAATGGATCGTTTCCGGACCATCAATATTTTGCAATTATTGCTTTTAAGTTTGGATCAAAAAATGGTAGTTTAAGCTGATATCTGTAGTTTTAATGCGGTTTTAGGTACGATATGTGTCGGAGGAGCCGATTTTGACTGGAATATGTTTGAATAAAGGAAGAAAAACCTACTATCAATCTAAGAAAGTAAGTTTTTAAGCAAGCTGACTAATTGAAGCAGTGCCACACAAAGTAGTAAATACAAAAAACCTACCACACAACTCGAACACTCTAGTGATACAAATAGTTTGCGCTAATCACTACGCGTCTCCACTTGAGGAAAGTTATTAATTATTTGCTAGACAACCTCTCGCAGGCAGTGTTAGTCAATTTTCGAGAATTGTTAAATGGTATTAGTTTACCTTCGACGTTCCATTAGTAAATTAACAATAAGTGAGCGTAAATCAGTGAGAATAGTCTAGGGAAATTTTACTGTAGAGTTTTTCATTATTTTTATTGTATATATTAAATCCGTATATGTATTCCTATTATCGTATCATGAAAGTAATAATATATATATATATATATATATATATATATATATATATATATATATATATATATATATATATATATATATATATATATATATATATATATATAATCAATGAACGGGTATGCTGATCAATATTTTAAATGAAATGACACAATTTTGAAACGTTTTCTACTTTATTATAAGCGGATAGGAACAAACGTCCGCCATGTGCAATGGTTCGTTTCCCTTCCTTCGTAGGTTAGGTTCAGCACTATTAAAGATCCATATAAAAAGACCAAGCTTCTTACGCATTTCTCTCTAAAAATTCGAATTTTCACAGTTTAAAAGTGTAAAACTAATTAAAGCTCTATTATTGTTTTTTAAATATTGTAGATACGAAAGGAGGGGTTCGGGAAGACGCCGACCATACAGAAGAAGAAATAAGGGAAGAAGGAAGCCAGAGTATGAAGACGAAGAAGTCGAGGAGAGATTTGAAGATGCTGATTTTGTTGCAGGTGACATATCTTCATTGTGCTACCAATTAGAAAATTCAACTTTTGTTACTCCTTTCAGCAAACAAACGACACCGAAACGAAGATCGAGTGAAAAATACTGAGGACGACAGGGTTGAAGATAGAGAACGAAAGCGACCAAAAACAGAAAAGCGAAGATATCCTGAAGACGCAGAGAACGAGCGCAAGTCTACCAGAAAAGGTGTCCGGAAGCCAAGTGGCGAAGATTATGAAGACGAGTTCGACGACAGTCGAACTTACGAGGGTAGGAGAAGAAAAGAAAATGGAAAAAAACAACCGGGCACAGCGCAGGACAATGATGACAGACCCGTTATTAAACCTATCAGCGGCAGTATATATGACAGACCTAGACTGGCTCCTAGAATTAATTTGCCCGTTCCTAAAAATGTAGCCGATAAATTTTCTTATAACAAATCTGCAGGTGGATCTAAATCATCTACCATTGCAACAGTTTTGGTAGAGGAGAACTACAGTGATTATGAAGAGGATGTTGTTCCAAAAAGCAGTAAAGATCAAGAAATAAAATCCGACGAAAATAAGGAGGTCCCAAATAATAACACAAACAATGACTCCAGGGGACAAGCTGCGTCAACACAAAAACAAAAAGTTAGGAGACCAGAAAATGAACAAACACCTGAAAGGACTACAATAAAGCCGAAATATGGCAGTGGTAGGCCACACAAGTACGCACCCAACAGAAGTACATCTAGTACCACGAAAAAACCTGTAATCGAAGAGTATGATGACGAATATGAATACGAGGTTCAGGAAATTAAACAGAAGAACAATGAGCACAAAAATGAAAGAACGTCCACAACTATTAGCACCACTACAACATCGACAACAGAAGTTCCTCCTCCAAAGGAGAGATCAGAGCCCATAGTGCGAATTGTTAAAAGACCATTCTTACCGAGCAGAGGAGGAAATCCATATTTAGCAAGAGGTCTGCAACCAGTAGGACTTAAAGCTGCCGATAAGAAAAATATTGAAAATGACTCAAATTCCAACAGGCAAGGGCAGTCGGAAAAAACACTTCACGAAGATTTCAAATCTAACCAAGAAACTTCTAAATCAGACGAAGAGAGAAAATCTGCGTTCAAAGCTTCGCCAATAATTATTAAGGTACCAATTAGATCAAAGTACATAGCATCCAGCCCAGAAGCACAAGAAGTCTTCGATTCAGAATCATCAAGACAACAGAATTACAAAAAGGAGTTTCCTTCTGTTAGGACAACCGAAAAAACATTTCCAGGAAAAAACGCTTTAGATTTAAATGAATATGACGTAACTTTGAACGAGGCATTAAGTCCAACATTGCCAAATGTACCGGTCAGAAGCTATCCCACCGGATTTAGTGCCGGTAGCGATTACAGTTATAGCGCCTATCAGCGGCCCAGATATGTAGCTGATTCTATTATAAGCCCCTCAGATGTATATCAAAACCAACCCGTAAGGCAGCAACAACATTACGAAAGGATACCGCAAAGTCAATATATAAATGGGGGTTACAGCAGGCGGGAAGTATCAAACGGTCAAACACAAGCAATATACTCGAGTTACTGAATAATACTCATTAAAGCCATATTTTTAGATAATTTTAGTATCATAATTTAGTCTTAAATAAATTAATTGATGGTTGTGTAAAATATTTTGTAAATTGAAATTAAATTATGTGGTTTAAATATTTTGCATCTCAAATGGAGGCAGGGTGAAATAATATTAAAAAATTAATTTCAATAACAAAATTTATTTAACAATTTTCTTTAATTAAAAATTCAAAAAAGCCACATACAAAACCGTTATATATTTTCTTGTCCATTCCTCGGTACACAAACAATGTCAATCATTTTTGCTTAAACTATTTAAGGCACTCTAGATTCCAATATATTGACGCAACAAAATCTTAACTTTAAGTTACAAAGTATCATGTTCTAGACAGAGCATTAATTGGATTGGTAAAAAGATGTAATTTATAATTAATGTGTAATACCTTTGCAAAAATATTTTTAAATCTATAACAGTTTCTTTTATCTAATCTGTAGCTGTAAGCACTATGTCAGAGAATATGATCAGAAAGTCTGTGAAATTAAACCAAAGAATCATGCATAACATGCATAATATTGAATACACCCTAAATAAACCCCCGTTCGAATATATTTTGAATATATATCGGATATTAACCACATACCTAAGCGCAAGGTTTTATAAAAAACGAGTTGGTTACTTTTCAATCTTTAAACCTATCTACTGATAAACAATATACATAATTCGTTACCAAAATTGTTTAATATTTTAATTTTACATACTTTGGCACAAAACACATACCTGCAATACACAGTACTTCAAAAGAGAAAATTGGACAATAATTCAGCGCCAAATGCTAAATCGTCAAAATTATATTATTCAGAGGTTTAAAAAATGCAAAGATTTGCCCTTGATATAATGTATCGCTAATAGTGTGTTTTTATTTTTCACGTTGCAAAAAATAATAATGAAATTAATTTTGGAAATTTATCCGATTTATTCGAAATTACGTGAACAAAGCGATTTTCCAAAATGTATTGAAGTACATCCGTAATATGGGTATAGTTTTTTGCATTATTACTTTAGGTACCTGAAATCAGTTAATTTCAAGAATCGAGCTAAAGCGGAGTGAAAGTGCCATTCAACATTTATCACAAATAATTAAAAGAGGCATAAAGACAAAAATTGTCTAATTATAAACTACTGGCAATACAGAATTTAAAACAGCAATACGTAAAAAATTGTAGTTTAAAGTAATATTTAAACAATATAATAAATATATCCTAAAATCCAAAAATTTTGCTGCTGAGTATTTATTTATTTTTTTAATTTCAATTGTTTCAATCTATTTAATTCTATATAAGTTTGTTTAATGGCCATTACCGAATGACGATAGGTAGTTGAAGTAATTAACATCATAATACTAACATATCAACATATAGTAAGCTATAAAACATGTATATAACAAATAAGCTAGGCCTATTATGTAACCATAAACAGTTATAAAGTCACTAAAGCAAAATGTTCTTGTATGAAATAAAAAGGCCTGAAAGCATTCATGGTCTTGAAACGTTTAAATTGTAAGAAAATGAAAAACAAAAATACTACAATCTAAATAATAACAGTAAACTAAAATAAAAGTGAGATTTCTACACATGTTACATATTTGCCCCTAGATTTCGATTATAAATTATAGGATTAAAACCAATTTTGAAGTAGGCAGTTTGGAAACGTCTCCCAAAAATTTTTCACGTTTAAGCTTCTCTTTGGTTGTTATTTATTCCGTTTATTCATTTTTAAGCAAGTGAGTCTTTATAATATGCACATAGCTATGCATATTCAGAGAAGCTAAACGTCGTCTTTTATCAGTCTTACCGTTTAATAAAAACAAAAATTAAGCTAAAACGTAAACAAGTAAAATCCAATCAAAACTCAAAAACATTATAAATTAAATAATAAGTACATAGAAGGTTATGCGTCTTTATAAGAAATTTAAGTTGGAGAAAAATAAAAGGTGCAAAAGAAATTCAAATTAACTGCGACTATAAATTAAATGAACTTTACCGTGCAAACAGTCACACATAACTTTATTTCCTTCAATCACCTCGAAATGGCGAAAACAAGTTGTTTTCTTCTGAAGAGAGCTTAAAGTTTTTAAATGGAAATGGCAAAACTAAAAACTAAGGCAGTAAACATAGGGAAAAAACATGACCTATGCTTTTTGTTGCAGATATTTTCAGTTCCGCATATCTACAATTTCCTTGTTTAGTGTTTTCTTTTTTTTTTCAATAAATCAAGACATAATCACATGCACTCTTACTATGAGGGCCCAACAGTCACTAATTATATAAATCAAATCAGAAAATTGTGTAAATACAAACATAGATAGGTGTCATTAATAACCAATTCACAGATAGTAGCGTATCATCTACATCTGAACTGGTGAATTTTCCAATTTCCAAAATATTCTATTAAATGTAAAACCATTTTTTGACTGGTTTTTATTTGCGATACAAAAAGCCAGAAAATTTAGTTTCATTATTCATTTATCTGTGTGCATAATTTATCTACAGGAAATCAAGTTGAAACATTATAGTTGATATATCTGGAGAGTCGCGTGATAAAAGGGCATGTGCTTTAACTAGATTTCCTAGCCTTGCCTATGCCTATCCAAAAGTGTTGAGAGGGAGCATTCAATCAATAAGATCTATTGCAGTAATCAACAATTATGCCGTTACCAGTTGGTCAATTCAACAGTTTTCAGTTTGAATGTGGCATTTTTTCTATATATTCCGGGTCATGCGCGCTGTATGAAAATATTATAGCTGTCTGTATTTACGACCCCTATACAATCTAATATAGTTATAACCAAAGGTGGAAATGGAACAAACCTTTAGAAAAATCAGCTAAAAAGAAATAAACCATCAAAGAGAATCTGTTTTTTTAACTAAGATGTGATAAAATACTTTCGTTACTTTGTTAGATTCTATGTAGATTACTACTCATTATAAACTTAAGAAAAATTACGCTACCATTAATGGTTGAGTAAATTACCTTCAGAATTTTTCCCTTAGAACTATAGCAACCAGTACCAAAAACTTAGATTCAACCTCTGGATTTATAAGGAACTAATGAATATCATATAATCACAACCGACTAATTACTCTGAATTACACCACTAACTAAACTAAAAAAATAGTTTCAATTTATCACGATATCTGCAGTACCCAATTCACTAATGAAAATCATGTAAGGAAGATAAAATACCTTTTGAACCACGCAATCTAATACTATATCCGCAAAGGGCATGTTGTTTTTTGTACTTGTATTAGCAACATTATGAACATGTTCTTCGACGATGCGTTTTATTAATCGTAAGGACATTATCCATCATCCATCTGTGCACCTTGAATGTTTCCTTTTCAACTTCGCAGCCAGCAGCAATCGTTGGATCTATTGATGCATTATGAACGCCACGTATTTGATTAGGTGACAAGTAATGAACAGTAATTAATTGCCTAAAAAGGCAATAATTTCTTCCTAACCAACGGTAAGTGAATAATGGGTTGTGCGTTAATTCAATAGCAGCTATCTTTGAGCAAATTCCTAAAACAATATCAAGTTTCCAGATGTTAAAAAAAACGGCTGTTATTGTCGAAAATTATTTGTGTCAAGCAGAACAAGCTTTAGCATACCTGTAAAATAAACATCTTCTAAATGAAATATAGGGGTTTCTAACGCTGTTCTAAAAATCTTTTCCGCAACATCTGAGGACATTAAGTAGCTTGTTCCTGATATATATTTTGGATAAACAGGGCCTGGATACAAATAGGTGGGTGCATACCTACAAGGTCATTTATAATTCCTGTTAACCAGACAAACTTTTTAAAACTATATTTGTTGTACTCTAAACTGCAAAATCATAAAATTTGGCACAACTTCACAGTCAGTTTGCACCCAAACCTTTGAATTAATTTTAAAAATTAAGAATTATAATTTTTTTAGATATATTTTCTATCTAGTCACATCTACAATTTTTTTTGGTGCTCTGCTATGTACACGCCACACCGTTGACCATTTGGTCAAAATTGCAACAAACTTTCCCATATATCCTTTATAATTTCATTTACATAACTTTCTTGGTTAGAGGTTAAAAAATGCCAAATTGAAAACTTTTATTATTAAAACTTTATTTAAAACTTCTAGTTACAGTTACTTTGTATAAAATTGGATGTTCCAAATATTTATTGTTTCTCAAATTATGCAAAATATTATAAACAGTTACAGTTCCAAAATAGTAGGATATAATTTTTTTAGAGAAGATTTACTATGAAATTGTGCAAAGTTTTAATGGTGAGTTAAGCTTGCTTTATAGTCCATACACTATTTCTCCCAATTTAAATACTTATAAATATGAAACAAATCTCAAAATAATATTGAATATCTAAATTAAACCATTAATAAATTTCATCTTACCACTTATCATGATGGTCTCTTATTGGCCTGGCACCACAAATTACACCACCCATGAGCAAACTGCCAGAAGTGTTTCTATTGACTAATTGATTCACTAGTTTCGGCAGACTCAAATACATATCATCATCTATCTTTAAAAGGTATTGAGAGTTGCGCGAACACTTTGCATTAAATATTTTTAACATTATTGCTGATTTAATAGTAAGATTGTTATATGTATCTTCAAAATCTTCCTGGATTATGTCTTTATAATTCTGGCTTTCGTAGTCCACAAATAACTAAAAATTACAATACATTAAATTGCTTCATTATTGATTGTAATCAAAATATTTTTTCAATATAAATACTCCTTACATGAATTGCTTGCCATTTATAAAGAAGAGGAAGTTTTGTTAAAAATCAGTCAGCTGCCGAATTTTTACAAACACCATGTCCTTAATATAGAGGGCTATTTCATACTTGGAATTACTCATATTCGACAGATAAGGCAAGACCAAACATTTATCCCAACAAAAATAATCTAAATATTGTAATAATGTTTAAAAAAAAATTAGAAAAATGTCATAATTCACTATGTTTTCCAAATTAAATGACTACAAGTATACACTTAGCCAATTTGAAAATTTTCAACAATTACATTCTCTACCCTCTTATCCTACTTGCTCACAGTTTTTTATGTTGCTGCTATGTTTACTGTTAAGTGACAATGTTTATTATATTTTAAGACAAAAAAGAAGCATTCCTATTGTGCCTACAAACTTTCGAGAGCATCCTGCATTACCTGAGTATTTGCGTCAGATGTCTTTCCCAATAAAAAATATAGTGATATATCATAACCCAGAATCTTCTTATCTTTGCCCCAGGTCTCCCTTATTGCAGTCCTCGTCTCTGTTCTATTTGGCGAAGTGGTGATCATTATCACCAACAATGAAGGTCGATCACAGAACTTTTCTGGGAAAATTATAGGGGTTAACTTGTTTTTTTTAATGTAGTGATTAAGGTTTCGACTCTTGTTGAATTCCCACCCAGTGACATCCGCTATAATAAAAACCAACTTAATCAATACTTTTTCTCCTTAATTAAATAGGGAGTAAAATATTAAAGCCTATGTAACCAAAAAAAATTCTTATTTCCTAAAAGTTTACAAAATCCCATAAACTTTTTTCACTTGAAAATCAAACAAGCAACATTTTTAATCAAAATATTGAACAACACATATACAACATAGGCATTATCCAAGGCAATACTTCTAAACTTGTTATGTAATGGAACTTACCTTCCCCAGAATCTTGAATAATTAGCAAAATAAGAAAAAGGAACAAAAATATGGACAGCACAAATAATGCTCTCGGTAGGGACTTCATTTGCTGAGTCGTGTTAGTCGTGAAACTTCTAGTACAAGTTTGAATTATATTTTAAATGTAAATCTCATAGCTGTAATTAAAATTCGGTTACTTAACGTTACCTCAAAACCTTTCTAAGGTATAACCTTTCAATTCAATCATGATAGCTTCTTCAAATGTCATTATCATAAGCAAATATTATATTGGTCATTATAACGGACAAATAATGTATCTTTAAAGCGGAAAATGGTTTAAATTTTGATTTATTGGTTATATTGTGATCACAGGTCATAGACTAAAATGGAAACGGTCTAATCGCCTCGAATAATATTGAAAGAGTGACATCTTATGTTTGTCCCGTTTATCATTTTAAAATGCTGGTAAAATAATTCGACAGATTTCTTCTTTATCAAATGAGCAAGTTTAGCGAATTTGGTTTCAAAATTAAATACAAAAGCACTTTATATTAGGAAAGTTGCAAGTTTACATTTTACTTGTTTGTGATTATCACGTGCATGTAGAAAACAAAAATGTCTTTCATGTCATTGTAAGAAGCAAAATATATATTTTTTTATTCTACGATAAGCGTGTAATATATTCCTACAAACAAAACGTAGAATGCAACTTCTCCCTAGTGATGATTTTAATCGGATAAAGAAGACTTACTAGATGTCCTACTTATTCAGCCATTTAATATTTTACACAAAGAAATGTACAAAGAAATATCGACTTTAAATAAATTAAACAAATAAATAATAATAAAATTAACAAATAGAAATTGCGCGAAGAACTATGATAGCAAAAAATTTTAGAGCTTGTAATTTTATTGGATATTGAAAACTGTCAAAACTTCATGTCATGCCTACAACAAATGGGAATATATAAAATTACTTTTTACAAATCACAGACCAAACGTGAAAAGTTATTAAGTTTTTTAACTCACTTTTCCCAGCTGGAATCACAAACTCAAAATATGTAATGTCAAATTAAAAATCGCAAAACTATTAACACACACAACAAATCTTTCTAGAAAAATCGCAAAAACTCAGCACAACGCGAAATGAGCATCGCACAGCGCAAAAGCTGCTGAAAAAGTCAAGGGGACTTTTGATTCATCGTGGCTCCTCGATTGCAAAGCGATGTCGCCCGATGTTCCTTTTTTTTATTAGAAATGCACTGGAAAGATGCTGTAACCATACTATATTTATCAGTATACTGTGATTGTCATAGCCCGTATAGTTACTAGACAACTATACGTGATAGCCGCTTGGCACAGAACAAATGATAATAACCAGAGCGCTCAGCTAAGCAAAGGACAGAATTAACGCAAATCGCAAGCATAGTATTTTTAATTGCAATTTTTCATCTCTTGGTGCCAAATACTAAATTATTTTTTCTGTGATCGTGTTCCTTGTGACCGTTCATTATACTTGTGTGTATTTCGTACATATTCAGTTTAAACAAAAATCTATAAGGGGTCGTGTAACACAATTAAAATGTTGATCCCAATACAATTTTAGATGATTCGGTTATTTTAAATTTTAAAACTTTATTTAACATGCTATTTTGAATGCCTAATCTTTTATAAAGTTTTCCATATTTAATGATGCCGTTTCCACTTTCTAATAATTCAATGACTTAAAAATAGTGGACGGTGTATTTGCAACCGGGAAATGCCCTTTTAAAGAGCACAGGATGTTGTTACTAATCGTTCGTTAAATGTGAAATGTTCGTTAAACTAACATTTATTTTCAGCATGTCGATTAGCATTTGATTTACTGCTTACTTTAACAGAGTCGAAGTTTAAGTTTTAGTAAATTGTATTGTTTCTCATTATCTTTTTTTGTAACATATATTCATTTACCTAGCACCATTATGTCTGATGGCAGGGCCTATTACGCCAATTTTGACCAAATGGAGGCATATTTATTTATTTTCTATCATTTTCAGAATTGACAAAGTTTATTTTTTTGTGTTGAGAATTTACAAATTTCATTTTCCATTTATTTGTTTTATCTTATTACTATTTATTATATTTTGTTTAATTTTATTCTGCTGTTTAGAATTTTTGTATTAACTATAAGAATTTTCGGCTTATCTGTTAAAGTAGAATTTCTGCTGGTAACCTGTTATAGTTTATTTACTTTTGTTTATTTCTGAACAAATATGGAATATGATACCTATATAACGGTCGAAAGATCTGACGATCACAACCTTTATTTGGTTGCTCTTCCCCTCCTTAACACGAATCCCCAATCATATAAAATCGCGTAAAAATTCTTTAAGAAGGGGATTCGCAAATTAAACAGCCAATAAAATAAAATAAAACTCTGGAGCAACTAACTGGCGAGAATAATTAAAAAGTTTCTTTTAATTGGGCATTCTTTTGCTGGGAAATTAACGAGACAAGAGGGTGCCAAGTTAAAAAATATGTTAAGAGGGTTAAACGTTAATTAATCACAGGGAAATGTAAATTTCGTGTACGTGTTACGCTTCTAGGCATCGTTCGTACCTGCTAAGAATGAAGTATGATACCATTTACCTACCTACTTAGCACCGTTTTTTAAAGTATATTTGAAAAATTCGGTCACACCTTTGTCTGCAAGTCAATTTTTTAAAGATGTACAGTGGTTATGCCTACGCAGAATGATACCTATATTTTATTTGAAATTATTGAAATTTAATTCAATCCCCTGTATCTTTCTATCGATTAACATTTATCATGACATGCATTGAATAAGTCTTCCTATTTTGAGATATAAGTATACCCAATAGGTAGTATTGCTGTTGCTCTATAGCGGATAATTCAGATTTAATTCGGTATTCAGTATTATTGGCACACACGTTTTGTTGTAGTTGTACATTCATACAAAATGTAAATGAGAGTTTCCCTACAATCAATTTCTTTTCATTTATAAAAAAAATATGAAAACTTTTCTTTGGATGGTGTTACTCAATGATATATATTCGATGAGTATACTCTGTCTGTCTTGGCGTTTGGGACCCTACCCCGAATGTAATTACGACCTTCATATTGTTACTGGATAAGACCATACACCGAATATTTTATTTATAGGTAAGGCGCAAAACAGGCGAGAGTCAGGTAGATATCGACCACATATCGACCCATCTCGGTGGCGTTCTAAGCTTTAAGAGAAACCAGCCTATTGAATTATTAAGTGCAGCACATTTTATAAAATTGTAGCTTCTTACATACAAAATAACAAAGAGTAATTAATATTAATGACGCTCTGTACTGTTAAGTAATTATTGATACTTTGTATATATTTAGCGTCATTGTATTAGTACTGATGTGATTTTATGAAGTAAACGTATTATAATATTTAATGTTTATATTTTTAAAATACCTTAAAACTATGTAATTGATGCTCTGTCCTACAATACTGACGGGTCAGATGTTCTATTGTTGGTTGGCCGATAATGACCGTCAAAACTAAAGACAATATTCTTTGAGACAGATCATACTTAAAGCCAAGGCAAAGAAAAAGTTGTTGATAAATTGGCAGATGCGCAGATTTCTGAAATATTTTAAATGAGTGAGATTCATAGAAACCTTTTATCTGATTTGAACAATAGAAACTGAAACATATTTACAAGCCATAACGCAATCTTTATTATTATTATTACTAATTAACTTAATTCTTTTCTTGGATAAAAAGTAATACATAAAATACAATAATAAGGGCGACTAATACATTTAAATGAACTTAATTAAAGGATACACAATTTTTTATTATTATTTTCATTTTAATTCTTAAAATCAAGAGACTAAAGTCTAAAGGTTTAATTATTTATTACAGGATGATAGTTATAAAAATTAAGATGTATTTTTGGAAGATTTTGGGATGTATGACAAATTTTGATTGATTAAACCGTTTGTGTGTGAAAGTGAAAAGTAATCAAAAAAGCCCTTATCTAGCCCTATTTTAGAGAAAAAGGGTGTCAATGAAATTACTAAAAGTAGTAGTGGAAATGTTAAATACAATAAATATTATATAGTTAATTGAGATCCGTTCGTTTATAATTATAAACCCTATTTAAAAGTATTTTCACTTCCTTGCACTTTATAAGCAAAAACTATAACATTACGATAAGCAATAACAAGGAAAATGTCACTTTAGAAAGTCAGTTTCGCTAGTTACGGCTGATATTACGGTTTGAATTTTGAAATTTGTCAATTCTGATGGTCATGTCACATTTATGAATGTATTTGTGCTGTTTTGCAAAATTTTACCCAAAAACTAATGGTAGTAGAAATTTTATAATACGCAACACGTATGATAAACTTTTTCAGTCACTCGTGACCCAAATGAGGTTTATCAAACTTGTTGCATAATATACTATTTTCTGCAAACTTCAAAAAATTACAATGATTTACACATTGTAAGTAAAAACCCAAGAAATCATTTATTTCTAAACATTAGGTAATATTTAATTTTATTTTTATAGATTGTTATATTAAGTCAGTTCCATACTATTTTTTATATAAAACTCAGCCTGTGACAGATTGTAGAATAATTTTAAGTGGTATTCACAACATATTTTTACGTTTGTAGAAAAAAGTTTCTTTTTAACTCGTCCGCGAAATATTTTAATGATCTAGACTATTTTTCAAACTCAAAAGCAGCTATTATCATTAAAAGTCATGAAAAACTTTTTAAATTAAAAACAGGTTCATTTATGGTTATTTTCACCTATAGTAAACAATAGTATATTTTGCAATTTTGTTTAATAAATGAGTAACATCCGATTGCTCAGAAGCCCGGAAGAAACTCGGATTCGTAGGAAACGAATCTGAAGTGGTTAGATGACACTTTCCTCACGCTAGATCGGTGCATAATTAGGTATTCAGACGGGAGTAGAAAAGAATCTTTAACAATAGTATATTATGCAACAAATATGTCGATAAACGGCATTTGAGTCACGAGTCTATATGACTCGAGCGGAGCGCAATGTAGCAAAACAACACGAATATATGACATGACTCTCCGAAAACATCCGATTGCTCTCAAACCCGTGCCGTGATATACCGGAAATGTCCGAAGGGGCTCGATTACGTGGACAAGAAACTCACCTGGAAAAGTCAAGCTTTCCGTACGCTAGATCTGTGTATAATTAGGGTATTTTGCAGAAAGGAGTAGAAAAAACAACAAAAATTTCAAATGGAAAATATTAGCTTTTTATACGAAAATGGTCATTCCCGAATTTATTAATATACTCGATCCGACCCAATGTAACATTAACCGTTTCGATATAATTTAGGCC